GCCTTCTTCATCCTCCCTATATATTTGAAAAAGGACTTTTTATTATCCTTGATCTTGGACGCTAGTCCTAGCTCTATGTCCACCTTAGCTTTCCTAACAGCCCCCTACAGGCCCGAGCAGTAGAGGTATACTCTTCTTTGGAGATAGTCCCCCCCTTCCACCAGGCATACACCACCTTTTTGGCAACCAGGCATTCCCGGACTTGCTTGGTGAGCCAGGGAGGCTTTCGGGCACTCTTGCCCCCTTTGCTTCTTGTTGGGATTGTCACCTCTTGGGCCCTGAGTATTGTCTCCTTAAGGAACGACCACTCATCTTGGGCACTGAGTTCCCCTGCCCTCGAGAACCCTAGCACCTCTCCCACCATTCTCCTCAACTCGTTGAAGTTGGCCCTCTTGAAGTCTAGGGCTACCGCCTTGCTGTAGGCCCTTGACACCCTGCGCTGGATGATGAATTCCAGCAAGCGATGATCGCTATCACCCAGGTGGTCCAGGACCTGGAGCCCCCTTACCAGATCACCGCCTGTGGCCAGGACCAGGTCCAACAGGGCATTTCCTCTGGTGGGACTGTGCACCTCCTGGGTTAAGTGGAGGTCCTCTATCTCGGCCAGGAACCTCCTAGAACGGTCCGACCTGGCTGACTGCTCCTCCCAGCAGATGTCCGGGTAATTTAGATCACCCATGACAACTACATTCCTTGCCTTAAGTGCCTCTGCAAGCTGGCCTGAAAATTCCCGGTCCATCTCCTCCCCTTGGTTGGGGGGTCTGTAGTAGACCCCCACCGTTAAATCCCTCTCCCCACAACCCCCTTGTATCTTGACCCAGATCACCTCTGCTTGCCCCTCCTCTGACCCCACTTTGCTGGCACAGTATATGTATTGCTCTTTGACATAGAGCGCCACACCCCCGCCTTTCCTTCCTTCTCTATCCTGCCTGTAGAGCCTATCGCCCCTAATACTAACTGCCCAGTCATGGGATGAATCCCACCATGTTTCTGTAAGCCCCATTATGTCTGGGTTTGAACTGGCTATTCTGAGGGCGAGTTCCTCCTGTTTGTTCCCCATTGGTATACAGGCATTTAAGGCCTTGCATAGCTGTGCGTGCCCCGCCCTGCCCCATTAGGAAGACTATCCAGACACCTGTTTCTTACCTGGGCACTCCCTGCATGTGTCACCTGCCTTGCTCGGGTGGCGTCTCCTCGTCTTCCTGCGGCCCCTTCCCCCGGTGAGGCTAGTTTAAAGCTCGCCGTTAAAAATGACGCTTACATTTTTAAAGCAGTATTATGCTTCTAATGAAGAGGTGGTATTTTTCTATATTCAACTTGTTGATGTAATTCTGGTCAAAATATATCCTCACCTGCCTCAGATATGCGAGTCCTCAAGTCCCATCTTGTCATCCCTTTAAGCTTCAGCAGCTGTAAATTTTAGTCAGCATTTCCCTAGTTCCTCTAACACAGGAACCAGCATTAATAATCAATTCCCCATTTGCTCACAAAAAAGAAAAAAAATCCCTATAGTCCTTCTTTCCATATTTTATTACTATTAATTGTTTGCATCATGGTTCTGCCTTGAGGCTAATGCCAAATTATACTAGGCCCCATACAAACTTGGTCTCAGCTAAGGACCTGCCACTGAATGAAGAAAAATCAAGGTCCTACTGTGCTAGAACAACACATCACAACATTACTCCCTGCCATGAAGAATGACTGAAAATCCTGGTGATGATTTTGTCCTGTGAGAGGTAGAACTAAGACCACCCAACTCATCATACCTAAAGGCCACCAAACATCCAGTAGATAAAGAAATTCTAATCTCTGGTGATCAGGGTAGATTTCAAAGCAATCATCTTCACAGGAAAGGCACTGTGGATCATGGGCAATGTCCTGATGCATCCAATCTCCAAAAAGTGCTAATGTTACACTAGGGAGAATGAAGCTTGCTTCCTGGAAAGATAAACTCTATGAATTATGCTGTGATCTTTCTGGAAATTACTCAGGCAGATCCTTCCATTCTCTGGACACAGAAAGGATAACCTACAAATTATTCTCCATCTCATACACCCTCTATAATTAAGGACCACATCCTGACCACAGGGCTAGGGACAGAAATTACACATAAACAGGTATAAGTGATTGGAAACTGATTCAGTTCTGTAACAAAACCAAAGTTCAGTGTGCATAAACTGCTTTCAAAATGGCTGAAACCAGTTTAAAATAAACCTGGAGGGATGTAGCATCGGACTTAACTAATTTAGGTTAAATCAGTTTATTGAATTTCTGTCCGAGATCCCCTCCAGACTCAATTTAACTCACAGTGCCCCAACATCCCAA